GGTAACGTAACGTCTACGTACTTATTACTTACTTAGTTTAGTTTAGTTAGTAATAGTAATAACTACTACCTACTAGTTAGGTAGAGTAGTAGTACTACTACCTCTCTCTTTTTTATATATATATATATATATATATATATATATATATATATATATACATATATATATATATATATCCACATAGCCTCCTAAAAAAGACAAATCCATATATAGTATTCATTTTGATTATGGCGGGAAAAGAGCTGCGGCATTCCGAATAAGGCAGGTATAAAATTGAGTTCATCTCATCATGACATCAGTCTGTGTGTGTCACTGTGCGTCGGATTCTGTATTTTTAATAGTGATTACACATATGTGTCACTTTTTATGTATGTGAGCAAATGAACAGATATTTTTTAAGGTGTAAATATATAATATTCGAAGCTTTTCGAATTGCTGTACGCACATATCGTCACACCCTGCGTATCTTAGTTAAATTGTGTTGTCAACTTCTCCTATTTAAGTGTATCTAGTAAAGCTAAACTGGGCTGAGCGGAACGTCTTTTAGACCTCCATCGGTGACAAGGAAATATAAATATGTCGGTAATTAGAGCCGCATTCGATGTGGGCTCCGGTTCAACAAAGCTAACTGTCGGCCAGGTATACACACTACTATAACTCTCACTGTTTCTGTCGTATAGATTAGACAGTATTCTATTCTATTAAGTATTCTCGCTATGAGAACCTCAGGTTCGAACATCGAAGCGTGGTCCGCTTGTATACTTCAAGCATTCATACAGACACGCTCGGTTTCCACTGTTTAGATACATCTATTGCACAAGTACATAGAGTGAAGTTCTCACAAAGGGCGGTACTAAGTCAGCAATAGATCAGAGTTCTCTCACACTCATTCAGTCAGGTCAATCTCAGTTGCTGAGTGGCGTTCTCGATAAACTCCGGGTGCACGAGAGTGGATATGTTACTTAATTGTCCTAGAAATGAAATGGAAAAGTAATTGTCAGCAGGTGTATTTGATCCTTCATATTTTAAATGTAGCTAGGGCATTCAATTCGGGTATGGTAAGGGCAGGGAACTTGTTTATATTGTGCTGATTTCTAATTCGCGATAGGTGTTAAGGAATCGTGCTGCCATGTGAACTCTTACTTCCGGAAAGAGATAACAAACCAAAGAATATAAACATCACGTGTGTCCCCAGACCCGTAAATCGTTTTATAGCTGACTGCTTTACGATGTTCATAGGTGTATAGTGTGTACATCAATGCAACCAGCCAACTGATGCACACACAAAAGGTAAGATGTGCTGTATTCCACCTGACCCATGCAATGTATTACAGCGCAACAATTCGGAACAGCTGATATTAGGCATACTCTGCCTTTGCCTGTAGGGAACTGCTGTCTGTAGTCATATCTATCGCGTTCTTCGTTGTTAGCCAATTTTGAGTATCACGTGCTCGCCAGACAAATGTACGTACGCCATCGAATTGTTTGAATAGCAGTGCAAAGTCTCTATTGAGTGCTTTGTACACGACATTCTGAGAATTTTACATATCAGTATTGGTGCAATACTTTATCGTGAGCAACCTTACATGTGCTAAAAACAAGGCACCTGTCCCATCCTAGATTGAGCTGGCCACGGGTCATCTTACGAAAGTGTTTTTCTCGGAAGAACGAGTGGTCGAAGTGGGCAAAAGCTTTCGACATCACAAAGAGTTCATAGCGCCTGAAATGCTAGAGTTATGCAGGTATGATGTGGCATGTGAATCTGAATGAGCTGTGGAATATATTGAGAGGTATATTACTTCACCTTTGGAATCCCACGGAGAATTCGTCTGCATCAGACACCATTCACAAATTACAAGGTAGTACCTTTCTATACGATTTTCGGGTGACACATGGTACATTTCTCCATGCAAGCTTGTACTTCTCACCACAGTTCGCGAATCACATATGGAAAGGAAATTAATAATACATGCACTGATAATGTGCAATTGTTGCTTTGTTTGCCATGATAGGAATAAGCTGACTGAGTTCAAAAGCATAGCGCTGTCACACGGTGCCACCCAGTGGGCAGGGGTGGCGACGGCCGTATTCCGTGAGAAATCCAATGGCAAATTCATCGAGGACATCAACTCGAAGCTGGGCCTAAACCTGCGGGTGGTATCCCAGACTGCAGAAGCCGAACTTGGTATGAGCGTTCCCTACATTCTCTGATCGCTTCTCTGTAGCATCGTGTGGCTGTCACTGTGTTTTTGATATTTTGTGCCTGTCTTCAAGTTTGAAGGTATGACGAGAATAATTATTTAGATGTTATTTCATAAATTGTTGATCGACTGACAACAATACAATGGACATAGTGCAAATACCTTTATTCTAGACTTTCAATCGTCAAATGTGTGGGTCACTTCTGGACTCGGCATGTGTATACAATTGGACTATCACTTACGCTATTTGTTCTTTCCATGACTTCATGTATGTGTCCAGAATTGTGATGTTATCTGATCTATTTGGTGGCTCGTGTATATACATGTCGATATATGAACTAAGGCAAAATAAACCACTTCCATTCTGATTGATTACTTCATATGACAATCAAACCTGGTGTCTGGTTTATGATTCTCTATGTATTGTTTAGATAGTAGGGCTCCTTCAGAGCATCCACTGTCAAAACTAGTAACATTTGAGCACCAAGCAATCCCATGTGGATATAATTAAATCTTGATGACGAGAGCACAATTTGTATGTAGTCCAAAAGTATACCTGCAACTTTCGTTTGTATCGTTAGGGGAAGAGCATGGTTTCCGCCAAAACACATTGCTTTGAGGTCCGCCACTATTTTTTGTTTCTAGCGCAACATTGCGAATGCGTAACGACCGTTTGTTTTATTAATATGTAGTGTCATCTATACCTGACAGGATATGCCACTGCTGTCGCGGTCAAAGCAGTGGAAGGAGTGGATGCAAACGAGCAGTCTGATAGGCACACCGTAGTATGGGACTCTGGCGGTGCATCCTTCCAAATAGCAACCAAAACCGATGATGGTATGCCATGTACTATAACACTATGGTGCTTGGGATACAGATAAGAGATGGGGACCCGGGCTACTGTCGTCTGGATCCTGGTCGAATCATGTATATACATATATATATACTAGTATATATATTTATGTATGTATGTATGTGTGTATCATTATATTTATATTTATATTCATATCTATATTTATAGTTATATTCGTATTTCTCTTAGTTGAATGAAGACAATGAACTGTTTCTGGCAGAATTCGGCGACAACTCCATATCGATATTTAGAAGAAACCTGTTTTGGACACGTTGATTCAGGTTTGTTGACCGCTGAAGGACAGTGGGGCTCTTCGTCAGCAACCCATACCATGGTGGCCCAGATTCAAGGGAAGGACTTTACACAAACCGAGTCAGCCAACCCGGGGACTATGGAGCACGTACACAAGCTGATATCGCACATTCAGGTATGGATAACTATAGCTGTTCGCATTACCGCACCCAATGGCTACCCTGCACTTAAAGGCTGGAAAGCCACTGTTTTTTTTATGCTAACGAGGAGGTAATCTTGTTTTGAGCTATCGCATAGCAGCTGTGCGCACACATACGAAACGCTTCCTGCTGAGGGCATAGTGCATCCTAGTGCCTTGTATCAAGTGCAAATCCTCATACTCTTCTAGCTGCCACGATCACATATGTACTCTATCAGAGTCATCTGCAACCTCCCCCGGCTTGGCTGATCGAGATGCAGAAGGAAGGATTGGATGTAGTGGCGATTGGTGGTGACACCTCTATGCACAAGCTCGTCAGTCTGGCTACACGGAATCCTACGTTTACGCCAGAGACCATCATGGAGGCCTTAGAAAGTAGGTTTGATCAAGCATGGCTTGTCCCTGAATAGCTTAATGCCTAATCACGGGGCGGGACGGCTGGTTTATACTCATCTGATTGTTGGCAATGAGTGTTTGACTGTACGGAGCATGTTGCGGTATATATTAGTCAGTGAAGGGTGAAGTATGAAGCGGGCCATCCTGGTGATTGCGATTATGTTGCTGTGATGGGTGCATCATGTTGATCGTAGATCTAAATGTGTGCGAAGATTGCCTGCAACTTGCATGAAATCTAGATGCCTGCGAAAGATTGTGTGTATTTCACATCAATCGAGTATTTGCACACGAGGATGCATTCGCTGCACCTTGCGTGCATCCCAATTCTGAAGGTCCAAATAGCATTCAGCTTAGTAAGTGTGTACCTTCCAGCAGGATAAGGTCACGATGTTGTCAACCAATATATATAATTTCACATCAATCGAGTATTTGCACACGAGGATGCATTCGCTGCACCTTGCGTGCATCCCAATTCTGAAGGTCCAAATAGCATTCAGCTTAGTAAGTGTGTACCTTCCAGCAGGATAAGGTCACGATGTTATCAACCAATATATATATTATGTTTGCGTGAATGAAGGAATAGGACCGGAGCGTGTAATCGTGTATCCTGGCACCGTGCGTACGCCTATCCGCTCGTAAACGTATGTGATATTTCTTGTGATTCGATGCAGGGGATTTTATTCCTTCCCTGCTGCCTCGATGCACTGGCACTCGATAAAGCACGCATGCTGGGTCTAATTATGTGACAACCGGTCTGTGGACACATGGGAGAGTATACCCCTCGCATCAATGATAAGCATGTCGCAGAGTTCAGATTCGCTGACGTGTATATGTAAGATGTTTCTTTGATCGTGTTTTGATATTCAATTTAATTATTACATATACTCACCCAAATCCCGTGCAGTGCTGGCTGATAAATCTGATGAGGAGTTGTCGTACTTGCCACAGCCGGATCAAGTACTGCCAAAGATGTGTTTAGCGTATGTGACAATGAAGACTATGAACATAAAAGAAGCACGCCACTACCAATGTACTGGGAACACCCTTGGGCTACTGATCACTGATAGTTTCTGGCCCATTGCTGAAACGTGAATAAATGTATACAAAAAGTAGTCGATTTACGGTATACACTACTTTGTATACCTCTAGGTATCAAAACCCGCGTGTCCTTGATCGGATCAGCACACTGTATATGACAGTGAAAGTCCTCGGTGTGATGTGAGGTACACTATTTCTAGTAGACACATGGGTAAACATAGGTAAACATAGGTACCAATACCTATGCGAGCCACATCAAACGAAACAAGATAAGCGTAGGTGATGCTGTGCTTTTTATTTTCACTCAGCTCACTTCCGCCGCCGCTTCCGCGACTTCCGTTTCCGAGGTGTCTGCACATTCCGTTGTGGCCAATTGGTGTACAGTGGAATCGTTGTATATATCCAGATACCGTTGCACGCGATGCGTGCTCTTGGTGGCCTCACAGAATTCCATGAATTCGATCATGAGTGTATCCGTCGATGTTTCTTCCTTGGTGGTGTCCTGATATAGTAGTTGTAGCCAACCGTACATAATTTACTGACATCGCACAACACATACACCGAAAAAATGACGAAATGATGTACACCTGCGTATGAATTGCCATCTACAGAGGGTGCGATGCTTCCTTTGAACGCAGTTTACGGTCATCAATTGTGCTGCACAACTACGAATGTATAAGATGGCATGCAGTTGCCGAAATTCGACTACATGAATTTACGGTTCCAAATAGCATTCCTGATTCTAAAAGGTAGAACGCTCTATCATTGTATAGACACGTGAAGTCGAAATAGAGAGCTCTAGATTTTTTAAGTATGACACGTATGAAGACTCAAGCTTGTGCCTATAAATACTGTCGCTAACGAGACCAAAGTGGCGCTTCATTCATTCAAATTGTGAAAAAAATCACGACGCGGTACCCAAGCTTAACACAACACACGTGCAGAGATTGTCGGGAGATCAGAGCGATTGAAAGGAAACCACCAAATACATACCACCATATATTGCTGTAGCCCTAACTGGAGGATTGAGCCTGATGCCGTCAAATCCATATGTAAATCGGATGTCCCGGGTAATTTTAAGAAATTGAAAACTCAGTACTTGGTTTGGAGACAAATCAAAGAATCTCAAATGATCGAATTTCCAACTAATTATTAATATTATAGTCAGAGCCACACTCATAGAGGTGTGAAAAAAAACTGGTACTGGAAAACCCACATCATAACATAGAAATCGAAGGCAATGCAGTCAATTTGATATACGTTCACATCAAACAAGGAAGGCGACCAGATGCCAGCATTCACTAGAAATATCGCACCCTTTGTTGTACGAACACGCAAAAATGGCGGGCGAATACGCAATACAAGTATTGTAGCGGCTAGAAATCGTATCGACGAGAGAAGTATACGATATACTAAAGCTTGGTAGTGTATTCAGTCGAGGCAATACTGCATGGTACGGGTTATGTATTGTTCGCAGTACAAGAGTGAGCACACACTCTGAACATATCAGTGATGTACAATTCACTATCATATCACACAAAAACAAACGATACCCTAGTAATTAATATCTTTGATTTGGAGGCAAATCCATCCGTTATGGTGACACTGGTCGCACTAGATGACGAGCAACACAAGCGCTGAGCATGGCAACCACATGCAACACCACTCTAGTACATTGAGCGAATGACAGACGAGCCACCACCACCTGACAGTGTCGTTACAATTGAGGCAACTCGATGTATTGTGGACATACATGTATAGCCATACAGAATGAGTTTCGACACTGGGGCACACAAAGACGATACACGACACGGCTAGAATTGTATATCGAGAACAACTCACCGCTATACTGAATATGGCAATGTTGAAAAACTAGTACAATGCTGTATGTTTTGTTAATACGATATTTACAATATATATGGCGAGCAGACACGCACTAAGAAAGACATCGACACAGGCAAAAACAATAACTATCGTACAATTGCGTTTAATTGGTGCACGCCTGAATACTGTGTTCATACGTTTTTCATAGGTGGGCACGGAGGCGAGATGCAGCTGAGCCAGTTCATCAACCACTGTGACTTCTTTCCTTCGCAGATTTTCGTATCGCGATTTCCAATGGCTGGAATGTGCAGAAGATGCAAATGTGTGATGTAAATACCCGATTTTTCTCGGCCAAATCGATGTGAGGGTTGATCGTTGTTTAGCGCAATGCGATCGCGCCAGAGTTACTTCCTGCGGAATTGCCGGCTGTGTGGTATATTTGTTGACTCATAGTTGCTTCTGTATCCTTCCCTATCAAACACATCAGAAAACATGCGGATACGCACAGTATTGCATATTCGAGCACCAAACAGTCCACAGAGTACAATAATAGCTTTTGTACATACTCTGCGGCATTGTCCATGAACTCCTCAACGATGTCAATGTCGGATTTCCAGGTGTTCTTTGGTTTCAATGGAAGGCGTCCGGCCCTCCGTAGCTGACCCTATTGATTAGACCAGCACATAAAACGTAAAAGAAAAGAAAAGAAATTCAATATCTGGGCGAAAAAGTTTAACATTACCAGGCACAAAGTGAATATCAATTGGACGTCTAACACGACATTTACATTACCAACTCGCATCTTTTGGATAATCCCAAATGTGTGTTCCAAGGGTTGAGAACCTGTATGTCGATACACTGCGAAATGCTTCAACAAAGACATACCGCAGAATTCTTTGCGGCGACAGCAAATAAAATAGATAGGATGATGTCAAAAAAAAGGTGGGACGACGTACCAATGGATGATCAACGTGCGCGGGGCACTTCCAGCCCTTCTCCCTGATGGAGACGGTCAGTGGTGGGGTCAGACAGTCTGCATGAAATCCCTGAGGACACTCCAGCGACGAGCATGGGAGCACAGGAGCTCTGTGAAGATACCAAGTGAACCAATTACAATGCAAGGTAGCCCTAGAATAGGGATTCAAAAAAACACAGCGCAGCAGCGATGGACGCACCCAGAAGGAATGTCACCCCAAATGCTTCAGGCAGGCTACATGCGAATGCTAAAAACAAGAGCCGCGGACGGGATTTGATACACGCAAAAGAGCCGCAGACAGGCGAATGAAACTATTCTTCTTCTCAACGCTTAATACTCACTGTCAGTGATGCGCAACATCAGAGGCACATACATTCCACATTATTCTGAATAGGATCTCAAAGCACCAACTGTGAACTATACGACATGTGGCGTGCATGCAAATCCAATAGTGCAACGCACTTTCTGATAGAAATTAAGCTGACGTGGGTAGGATGCAGGTATATGTTTGAGCTTGATGTATAGATATCCGACTACTTCACGCTACTTACATTGCGCTTCCGCGATAGCACATCGTACATTTGTTTTTCGATACCCTGTTCAGGCGGAGTATATTTGAAAGGAGTGCGAGAAAGGCCAGTAAGTAATCCAGAGTATGAAAAAATGCGGAAATTTTAGAGATTAAGGTGAGATGCATTAGGATGTTTGCGATATATAAGCCTGGGTAGCTTGGGGTACTCATTCGGTATGCACCAACAATATCGAACATGTGAGAAAGGTCCATAAATTTCAGCAATACTGGATGCGCGTAAGTCAGCATAATCGACAAGCAACGCCGAATCAAAAGGTTAGGCAAGAATAGCCACTTTCATCATATATCCATTGCCCACATCGGGGCAGAGATTCAACTGCATTTAATCCCACTGTTGCACGTGCCATACACTCATGAAATGACACCCATAGTATGCGCAGAACATTTGAATTGGACAATACAACTTTCGAGGCTTTTAGAACCACCTCCTAGAACAGCCAATGTGAAACCTGACAAGCACGAATGTACACAAGTAAGATACACATACGATTCTTCTTTTTCCACAGTTCTTTGAATCGGCAATTGCGACGGCGGTAGCCACGGTGCGTAAGGCTCGTATTTCACTGTAGTGTACACGTGTCAGTACCATCAATATTGTGAGTAAAGAAAGATGCATAAGACTTGCGTTAACATGTTGTATTAACCAGATCATTGATTCCGCATGTGATTGTAGATACAGATGCCTCATTTTTACAGCGAAGTGCATTTGATCACCTACACACGAACAAACTCGGCAATACTATATACGGGGCCCCAAGCACGCGAATACAAAAGAACTTGCAAACATACGAATTCGAACATCTCCGGATGCCTGAACTTGTACGAAAACTTACAATCCAGAATTAAATAAAAGATAACACTGATGTCTTTGCCAAACTTTAATACGCCTAACGACCAAACAGAGACTTACACAGAATATTGAAGGAATACAAATTTCATCCTTGAAAAGGTTGAAGCACATGTGCATACCATCTTCATTTATGGTATAGGGCAATTCCATCGATATCGGATTTTTCCTGGTGCCTGATACAATCAGCATGTCCCAAGGTGTCGCACTGTCCAGTCCTGTATAATCTTTTCTCGTTAGCTTGTTCTCCGTCTGATCCTCGAGTGCTTTGGCGTGCTGTGGGCGTTAAATTGCGCCGCGATACTCAAAGCTCAGTAGATTTTCTCGATACAGCATACGTACGAAGGATCGAACTAATCGCAAGCATTACTTACTTCGACGATCAGTGCACACATACATATCTTACTACCCGATGCGTCAGTTTGCTAAGTGGATTTCTCAGATACATTCCTGACTAAAAATTATTTCTTGTACAAGATCGACACAAATTTGCTCCAATTCTAAATGGCAAAGAATTACAAAAGCGCATGAGTTCCGCCTTTACCAATGGGATTCCGTAATAGTGATGTTAGACTAAAGGATGATCAGGCTCCAACACCTGCACATATGCGAGTGTGTATATCAACGCTACAAGCATACACACCTTACACGTGCAGCATAGCCAGTCCTCCTTAGGCACTCGATGCAGAGGCGGTTCAGCACAAAGTAAGTGGAAGGACTTTGGACAATCCTCACACATCACCAGCATTCCCCCAAAGGCTGAATATAAAAATATGAAGTCGCAAAATAAGCAACCTGTAATGCAATAAAGTCTGAGATTCAGCGTTTCTATGGCAGTGCTTACACGTCACAGCGAATACTCATAAACGTTCATGCACACTAACCTTTGACATCATGCGACTGGGATAGTAATCTAGACACCGACACTATCCTATATTCATATATACAAGTATTCTATACATATAATATATATGTATATATATATATATATATANATATATANATNTATATATATAATNTAATNTATATATATTANATTTANAGGTTATATAGGTATATGGTANATNTATGGTATNTATATNTATGGATNTATANTAATNTA